TGGCTCCTGGGTCATTTTAATGCGACTTTGGTGCAGATTAAGTCTTAAACCCTGCTCCCTATTCAAAGATAAATATTTACAAATTCAAAGGATTTGTGAGGATTTCATTTAACAACTGCTTTTGTTGGAATGCGCCCTCACTAACACTAAAACAACAACAGCTCTTTACGCACAGTGAAATCAAAAGCGGACAATACAAGCAGACCATACACGATACTCATGACTGTTTGGTTTAGGCCCACGCGCTCACTCTTAAAAGCCAGCCGGTGTGCTTTTACAGATTTCAGTTTTCACAACTTCCGACATGCAGTCCCTTTATGTCCGACATGTCCAGTCTTTGTTTACAAATCTCGGTCATGTAGGCCTGAGAGGAGGGAAACACTTGAACTCCAAAGCTCTTGTAGACCACCACCAGAGCAGCAAATGGATACAAGATTACATGTTGTTGTAATGTGTCTATATCTCATGTGGTGACCTTTGCCGTTTTATTTATTTATCTCCCAGGTGGCCAGAGGACGCGCAAAAAAAGATGTCCATATTCAAAGTATCAGATCAGAGAACTGGAGAGGGAATTCTTTTTCAGCGTTTACATCAACAAAGAGAAGCGTATGCAGCTCTCACGGATGCTCAATCTGACAGACCGCCAGGTCAAAATCTGGTTTCAGAACAGGAGGATGAAGGAAAAGAAACTGAACAGAGACCGTTTACAGTACTACACCACGAACCCCCTGCTATAAACACTGAACAAAGACTGTCACTGACATGCAGCCATTCAGCCAGTCACCAAGACACTTCTACATACTATACAGGATGCCGAATTTTTTAATGTGCAGACTTCATATAGAATTCTATACTATTTATACACTATTTTGTCACTAAACACCGTTGACATTATTTGTATTATTAATAATGATAAATATGGTTGTTATTCTGCTTGCCTGACCAACCAACAGTCTTCCCAGGTTTAAAGTTATGTGGTTGCGTATATGGTGTACTTACTCGGAAAGGCAGATGTGCCGGAATTCCTTCTGTATTATTTAATAATACACGGAGATTACTGTACTGCAATTTAAAAAAAAACAAACCAAACTATTTTTTATTTCATTAAATTCTATAGAATCTAAATTGTTTCTCCTGTATTCACGCGCAACTTGTATGGCCAGCTATCTTGACACCAAACTACTGTTTGTGTATTTTTTTTCTTTCTTGTAATATTTTAACTTTATTGTACAAATACAACTCCGGTGACTATAAACCTATTTTGTGTGTTTTTGAATCACTAACAGATCTCACCTGAAAATCAACTGCCCCCCCCCCCCCTCCCTCCAAATGACCGGTCAATGTTGCATAAAGAGTGAGTGAGTTAAATTATAATTTGATATACCAATTCATCCATCTCGTGCATTTCAAGTGTGCGGATCAGTGATATTTAACATCTGCGCTTGACCCTTCAGTGCAGGCGCTTTGTTGAGCTCTGGCCGTAAAGTTGGATTATTCCCGAACTTCATCCAAAAGGCAAACCGCTGATAAAAGAGCAAAACCCCCAAATGAAACATAATCCTATATTTTATTTTAGATGCCAGCACGTGCACCGTATCAGATGCATGATCTGTAGGTCTGGTGCTTTTTATTCACTCATGGCTGGAAATGGGATCCGCTGCAGTTATTGTTTGATATCCATTACAAAGGGTTCATTCATTTCTGGGGCGATGAGGAAAGGCTGCTTTCTGACCTAACATGCCTGTTAGGCTTACTGACACAATCTTGACACTTGTTTGAATGCAAAGATGTAACAGGCCGCGTTATTCCAAAGAATATGAATGTATTTGTGTGATTATACGCTCATCAATGTAGTTACTGAAATACTTTATTAATTGCATCCACTGACAGTCAGCTAACCCATAAGGAAGTGACACTATAGGGCAAACCACTGTTACAAGCATCCCTATCTGTATGGTCATTCATATATCATCTGGAGCACTTTAATCCAAATATCCTACATGCTATGAATTTAGACCATGAAGATTTATGTTAACCTGCATGGGAAGGTCAAATGAAGCCCGCGCACATAAAGAGATGGGTAAAAATTGGCTTTAGGTGGCTTTGTGTCCACCACCAGGCCCCTGAAAACAACTTGAATGGCCTACCATAAGCTAATAAGGGCCCTGATGCCTTCCTTATACTGTGCATCCTGTGAGGCTCCCAGGAATTCCGCTTTGATTGCTGCACATCCTCCCAGTTGCTCCAGTAACTTGGCCATAAAACGCGGATTCGTCTGGAGCATTTGGAGTGTAGTGCAATAAAGCGTCTGAGACCAAGGTTATTAACTGTGACTAAGGGGCTGAAAACAACGGCCGGGACCATTGGAAGCTTGTGTTCACGGACCTTTCCGGCGTCATTTGTTTCCGCATCGTCCCGCAGTAGTATTGTTCTGCGTTCGTGTTGTGTTGCATTGTGTGCTGTGCCGTCTTCGTCCACTGGGTGGCGCACCTCAGATCAATGTCATTGCCGTGAATTGAGATATGAAAGAAGTTTGACTCGCTACTCCGTTGCTTTGAAATATGTCACCACCGCAGGATTTCATTGTTAAGGTAGGGACAGAAATGTCAACACGGGGTTTCCTAATGTGATTCAAAGAAGTGGGTTTTATTTTTCTGTTGTCCCATCTACATCTGAAAACTGTAGACGCCGTTTTGTCATTATAAGCGCAGATGTTATGATGTCATGACAGCAAAATCACCGGAAGTAAATTGAGCATGTTTATCTCTTTGAGCATCAAATTTAATGCAGGTTGCAGTTTTCCAGATGTTATAGGCCTGGAGTGACTAATGTGCACTGAAAAATAAGATTACTAGTGCCTATATTCCAAACATTGTTGCTCACTAACTTTTACAATCCCGAAACAGTTTAAAAACGTACTTAATTTGATAAACCTTACATTGGATTTGTGTTGTTTAGTTGTTATACAAAATATTGTCCCAGACCTTTTGTTCACTATTAAGATCCAGCTTGTTAAAACGTGTGTCCCATGTATGTGTGTGTGTGTGTGTGTGTGTGTGTGTGTGTGTGTGTGTGTGTGTGTGTGTGTGTGTGTGTGCAACGTTTCCTCATTCGTATATCTTTCGAAAAGTTAATTTGTGTGTGTAGTTGTGCGTGCGCGCATAGACAGACACCAACAGAGAGACATTTTGACATAAAACAGTCAGTATGGGATTTTTATTAAATGTCTAACATTTTTTGTTACTTTTAATTTAATAAATAAAAAAAAAAGGTTTTATGGGAGTAACAATATAATCTCACCCACAGCGCATACTGAAACATCACAGGAAATAATCCAGAAGGGTTAATGATTATTATCATTCATTGCAGCCAGACATGCTGCAGGTTTGACGCCATATGAAATGGCTGTACATAAACTGAAGATTTCTAGACTGTATGGCTCCAGACTTATAGGAAAATGGTGGTTGCCGATGGTGTAGCTATTTCACCCACTTTTGGAGACATCTTTAGGCTGATCTAAATCTGTATAGGCGTTGTAAACTCCGAATCCTATTGAATGTCTTTTCCACGACGGTGTTGATGTATTGACTGAATTTTTATTGTATTTTAAATATTGCAGCAGTCCAGGCTAGCGATTTGTGTTCACTCGCTGTCAACAAATATCCACTTAATTCACATTTTTATTCACTTGCACGGCAACTTCTCAACCACAGCCTATTACAAAATGATCCATGTTTGATTATTGGTCCTGCTTATTTGAAATGAAAACTAAATGTAAATATTATAACATCAGACCTAGTACTGTCTTAAGCTGTCTTGATTTTTTTGTGGTTGTTTTTTATTGGTTGTTTTTATTTTTCTCATTATCTCCAACTCTGGCCTGTTTGTTTCAAACATTTCATAAAGGACGAAAACTAGAGAGAGAGACGATAAAGATCTGGCATGCATTAAAAAAACGAATGAATTAAAAAAAAACTTTTAAGGGAATATTGGGCGTTTTATGCATGGGTGTAATGGGTATTAAGAGTTCATTTGAAATAAACTTAAAATACAAATATGGGGATTTTGTGATCGCCTAGGAATAAGTCTGCGTGTTTCTTATTCCTATGATATGTGCATAAGTGGAGAAACGTCCAAATGGTGCTTTAGGAGATGGCCTAATAGCAAGATAAACGAGCTCTTATGTCATCTCTATTGTAACAAACTACATTTCTTTCAGTCCTGCCAATATTAAGTGATCGTTAAGAAAAAGGTAGCTACAGGGCATTGTTCCGCTGTTGCGCTTACTTCAGCGTTCCTGCGTGTCACCTTTTATAAATGCTCAACAGAGCCTTTGCAGTAAAAGGTGTCTGGGCGCAATCATGGCATTTGCACCCAAAACATTCACACCACAATCACATAAGCTCGAGGGCTCTAAAGGAAGTGTCTTTGCACTGGTTCGACTGGCAAGGTGTCGAGATGAAACACTGTCTGCACTACTTTTGGACAGTCCATAAGGAATTTTAGACACAGTCCAATAATAGTCATCAGAGCAGCACCAGAAGAGTTAAGAGTCCCACGACCAAAGAGTCACACAGGACCTTTTGGATCTTTGATGCACCCTGTGCTTCTCAGAGGCACCTCTAGAACCCTTCATTTTTACAGTGCTGTAAAACTGGCCATAAAGCTATGCATTTTGTACATGATTGTTAGGGACAGCGTTCAACAGCCGAGTTGTCATATAAGGGTTGTTCACACAGGCAGCTCTGGGCTTATAGGTGGGGAACGAGGCTCAAAATGTGAGATTCAAAAGAGATTTAAAGATGTTACCTAAAACCCTCTGATGCACCACTTCCCCTCCACAGTTTTCTCTCCACTTAGCCTAAAACAAAATATACGACGCAGCGGAGCAGCCTGGTCGGACTGGGAGGAGTCTGAAGCCGCCTGGTGTTTTAATTGGCTGCAGGCTACAGTGAGAAGCGTGAGTATCAGTAATTATTCAGCAATGTTTTGCACAAGAAATGTCAGCCAGAAAGGGCTATCTTCATCCTCCGTCAAATTATACCACAACGATGACATGCCCCAACAACCAAGCTGGGAATTCGTTTTTCGTGGACTCTCTAATAAACGTGAGAACCGACAGCGGTTCATATTACCAAAGTAACGGGGTGTATTTGCCACCGGCGTCGGAATATACATATGGACTCTCCGGTGGCTCCTGTTTCCCGGGGATCGGTAAGCGCAACGAGCCAAGCACCCAGAGCGTGATTCCGTCTTCTGCTCCATATGTTCAAGGGATGGAAACGTGGCTGGAAACGTCGAGATCCTGCCGGGTGGATCAGCCTAGCGGCCAGCATATGGCTCAGTGTTCATTCTCACCGAATATAAAAGAGGAGAGCGCTTATTGCCTGTATGAGTCTGACAAATGTCCAAAAGGAGCCACGGTGGATGACATTTCTTACCCGACTGCATCATGCCCGGTTGCCGGCAGCACTTTGCCAGTCCCCGGCTACTTCCGCCTTTCTCAGACATACGCGTCCTCCAGGCTTTACCATGATGTCCAGCCAAACGTGAATCACTTTACTCTGCAACGACCTGCCCGCTTGGACAGCCATCCCTCCCAGACTGCCTCTGCTGAGCCGGAACGGAGGGAGAGCCACGAGGAGGCGCCTGTCCCAGCGCCCTGCGCACCGGCCAGAGTGGACAGCCGCCTCTCCTCGGAGAGTTCATCCTCCCCTGATCCCGCTGAGACATGCAGTGTGGAGTGTCCAGAGAAGCCAGTCAAAGGTGAGGATTTAACATGCATTGTAGAAAATGTAGAAAAATAGCCGACGGCATAAAAGGGCATGCGAATATAATTCTTGGGCTTCCATTGTTCTATTTCAACCAATGATTTCTAACCACAAATGAACGCGAGGGCATACGGCATACGTGCTATTTGTCTATTCGTGTTTTAAGATTTAGTTCAACAGCCAGCCACTCACAGGTGTACATTTAACGGCTATCCGACGGTTTATCGGGCATGAGGCGAAATTGAACGTGACTTAACCAATCAGAGCCGAGGAGCAGAGCTATTGTGCTTTGTCAGCTGTGTTTAGATAACAAATATGTTGCTAGCCGTCCTTTATTAGAATGCTATTCAAACTGTCCATGTGGATTCATTTTAACAAGCAACTATTACGTTTTGATGATCAAAAAGCACTTTAATTATTCTTGTTTTTAGGGTTTTATTAATATTTCATTTAAAGCAAGTGCTCTTCATTTGTCCTTTGCATGATTCTAATGTCCCATCTTCACAGGCACAGACCTTGCTATTATTTCAGTAGACTGTGCAGGCGTTTTATGTCTTGATAATGGTGCAGTTGGCTACACGCTGCTTAACGGGGCAAATAGTTTCTGGTAAAATCTGAATTTCAGCTGTGGAATATCCACATAGACATGGTGCTGTGCGTAAATCAAATAAAACACAGTAATCAATCTTTATACGGGTTTTTAAATCTATATGATTGTGTAGTAGGTGTTACTTCAAACAGAATCATTTATATATCAAATCATATCTTAAGTAGTTTACAGTAAAACACAGTTTTATTAATTTAAGCATGTCTGGTTTTCTAAATTTTGGATTTTGAATGGTATTAGTCAATTTTTTTCTAATACAGATATGAGTCTTCCCTTCAGGTACGACGTGTGCGTTTTTTTTGTCACACCTGTTGCCTAATAAATTCTTTCATTTTTATTGTAGGAGATGGAAAAATGGAAACGGCCAACTGGCTCACAGCTAAGAGTGGCCGAAAGAAGCGCTGCCCCTACACCAAGCACCAGACTCTGGAGCTGGAGAAGGAGTTTCTCTTCAACATGTACTTGACTAGAGAGCGTCGTCTGGAGATCAGTCGCGGTGTGCACCTCAGTGACAGGCAAGTCAAAATCTGGTTCCAAAACAGGAGGATGAAACTGAAAAAAATGAGCCGAGAGAATAGGATCCGAGAGCTCTCCGGCAACTTCAGTTTCTCATGAGACTGTCTGCGTCTTTGGCGCCCTCCTCCATCCATGGCAAGGGCGCCTGTGCAGAGCCCCCCCCCACCCAACTGTGAGAATGTCCATGGAAAATAGGACCCTACTGCTAACTTATTGATTGTTGTTCTTTCATATTTTCACGTTTTATTTTGTCGTGAATATGTATTTATAAACAGCTACATTTGTAACGTTGATCCGTTGTGTTTAAGATGTTCATAATGTGACCACAATGTTTCAGAGCTTCAGGCTTGTACATATTGTATAGTCACCCTGAGTGGACTTTGCATGCAGGACTAACCCTTGGGATACTTGTGTTACAGTTACATGTAGATCATAATGTGACAGCTAAGGAGCCCAAGAGGTCTGAGGAATATTTGCACATTTTTTTTCTGGTCAAAATAATAAAACCATCCCTGCAACTGCAGACTTCTTATTTCATTCAGATGGACAGACGGAGCTGCGTTTAAATCTTAAAGCTGGCACAGGTAGTGCACGGTGCTAATGCCGTTGTGTTTTGGATAGGTCCGCTCTGTGCACTGTACATATTATTACAGTAGTAGAGGGTGATGTTCTTCATAGTTTAGGCCTGTAATATATAGCTGGCGGCTGTGCACACTTCGTTGTGTTTTGTCCTTGACATCAGACTTAAATGTAAACCTCACAACGATTGATGGAACAGTGTTTTTTTTTCACAATTACTGTTATTTCAAAATCATTTTTAATTATGAACAAGTGGGTCCTTGCTGCAAAAAATAAGTCAAACAGTAATTATTATTATTATATATGTTTCTTAAATGATAAATTGCTTAATTTTAAAGTAACGGTATAGCGACTGGGCTACCTGGACTAAATCAGTCCAAAAATTTGAGAATTTTCGCACTCATCAGGCCATGAACACAATCTGCCTGAGCATTGTCTTTTGCGCTTTTACAGATTACTAAAATATTTTCAGGTTAACCTGTTATACCAGAAATTACATCCTTTCCACACCTTGAAAACACAAAAAAACACAGACATTCCTGAAGAGGAGAGCGGGCTGGTGAGTGGTTTAGGTAGTCTCATGTTGTTGGGCTATTATATTTCTCCCACAACACGAAACTGCCTTGATTACCTCAGTAAAACTCGTCGCATCATGGAAACTGAATCACTATTAATTACTGGTCGATTTTATTAATAATTTGGCCCAGACTGCTTCGAACCCATAAACAGTATTATTCCAAAAAGTGCAATAAAGTGTTTTATTGTTGTGCGTAAAATGAGCTCTTAATATGATTTTTGTCTTGTGGGTTTTATTATGGAACTACATTTTGATCTGAATTATTCTGATTTAATCTTAGAGATACAATGTTTTCATAATTTCTATAATTTTAAGACCACATCTGCAAAGTATGTTAAGCGTCTCTATGAGATCTAAACAGCCGAAAGTAAAGACGCAGGCTGGGAAATGGGAGGATTAAGGCTTGTATATGTCCAGGAGAGGAGTAGAGGACAGACAAGGCCTCGGTTATGATCATTGCAGTCTGCCAGCAGCCTCGCCGTAGGAAATCCCGGATGCGTCTGCTTGCGCCAGAGAAAGGACACAAAGGCTGAGCTTTATTGGTGATATTTAGCTTAGACAGCCAGATTGTAACCTTAAGAAAAACAACCCAATTGCCCGTGATAAAAGGACCTTTATATAGCACCCAAATAACCTCGCCCCACTTTCCGTTTTAGATTGCTTTCAAAGTAGACCACAAACCTGTAGACACAGCGAAGCGCATCTTGGAAGCTGTTTTGATATTTTAAACTCCTATAATGCTTTAAACACATTTCTGCTTGTTTTATTTAATTTCTAAAAGTCTTGAAAATGTTTTATACCAGTCACTTCCCAAAGTAGGAAAATTGTTAATCTAACCATTGAATTAATATATGTATACAAATATATACATATATATATAAATATATATAAATTTTTGAGAATAAATAATCTCATCAAGCACACTTTTTTTTGTTGATTTCACAAATTTTAGGTTTTAAAGTCGCCCCCCCCCCTCCTCATTTATATCACAACTATGTTCGATTACACAAACATAAGATCTATTGACAAAAGTCATAACGTTTATTGCTTATAAAACAAAATATTTCCCAATAAAGGCGCGGGCTTTCCTATTAAAATGCGGTGGGGAAAATGGTGGCCATTTAGTTGAGCAGCAGGCTGATTTATTATTTATTGTTCTGTCCCACGGTCACGTGTTTGGAGCGCCCTATCCAGTCTTGGGCAAGGTCCAAGTTACTGGACGCATTGAGCCCCTAGCTGGTGCATGGAAGCGGTACATTTTATGCAATGAATCTGCTTTTTCTAAACATTGCAAGACAATAACGCATTATATGCATTTATTTTTCGCTTTTGCATTTTTGCAATGTCGATGTTGGGAACGAGTTATTACGTTGAATCGCCTCTTCTTTCCGAGCAGGAAGATATGGCATCGAGGTACTCGTCAGCTGCAGGGGTGGAGCAGACAATGCTCACCGAATATGGTGGACAGGAATCTTTCCCTTTGCAGGCGAAATCTTCTATTTTTGGTGGATCTTGGAGTCCCATCTCGGCCCACCCTCCAAACACCGCCACTCCGACCTATATACATCACCATTACACGAGCGGGGACAGCGATGGCATGTTTACGCGCTCCTGGGCGTTGGATCCGGTGTCTGCGTCGCTGTGTTTGACGGGATTACCATCGACAGCCATGCATTATGAGATAAAACCCGAACCTCTTCTTGGGAGTGCTGAATGTACAACTTTGGAGACGCACACACCTCTTTTGTCTGACATTGAAAATGGAACGTCCCTTGCGGAGATTCCCTGCGAAACCACATCCGCGCCTAAAGCCACTGAAGAGAAACCATCAGCCGAGGACAAGACGGCGATAGATGCAAGTAAGAAAAATGTTTTCATTTATTCCAGCCACTTTGTGGAGTTATTTGCATTAATGCAAATTACGTGAATGGCTTGAGGATATGGAGGGATTGTTTTGGGTGTCACAGGCTTGGTTTAGTGTAAAAATGTGTAGTTTATGCTCAACGAAATTCAATAGTCTAACGGCATAGTGACATGCATGATTTTCGGCATAAAGAAGAGATATTCCTCAAGGTGATTAACACTTTAAGGTAAATTTGTACAATTATTTTAAAGGACTTGTTGACATTTCAAAGGTGAGGCATTTTGGCTATCTCCACTCCTCAAATTGATCAGTGCGTAGTGTAGATAAACCAAAAATAATTCCTATATGGGTTTGTAATATTGACAGGAGATGCATGTCCTTCTCACACTGGAAAGCCAATAGACCAGTGCTGTTTTTGAGTCCTATTTTGAGGGCATTAACTCTCTTGTCTCATGGTTTTGACCCCCCTGTTTCCAGATAACCCATCGTCCAACTGGCTTCACGCAAAGTCCACCAGAAAAAAGCGTTGTCCATATACAAAGCATCAAATCCTCGAACTGGAAAAGGAGTTTCTGTTTAACATGTATCTCCCCCGGGATCGTAGATACGAAGTCGCGAGAGTCCTGAGTTTGACCGAGAGACAGGTGAAAATCTGGTTTCAGAACCGCAGGATGAAGATGAAGAAAGACAACAAAGACCATCGGAGACAGAGTTAACTGGTTTTGGACTGATGGGGGATTGGAGGGGGGAGGAGAGAGAGAGAGAGAGAGAGAGAGAGAGAGAGAGAGAGAGAGAGAGAGAGAGAGAGAGAGAGACAGGGGTCCCTCTTTAATATTCCTGACCTGTTACACATGTTGTAAAGTTTGTGTCGTAAAAACAATGCTGGATGTTTTTTCCCTATATGGTATCAGTGTTTCATGTTTGTGAGAGGACAAAGTCTCTCGTCAGAGTTTAGATGTTTTGGCGCACAGAAATAGTTAATTAACTAATAGGCCATTTGTTATTTGCATGAAATGACCCTTGGCAACCTGAATGTCTTTCAGCTACCTATTTGCATTGTTTAAGTTATTATTTTGCAATGTAGTTGTTTTTTTAACCATTAGGTTCATTTGTGCACTTCAAATACCTCGTCGTTCCTGTTTCACCCAAAAATAAAGAGTAGTTTGTATAGTTCATGAGACAATTATGACTTATTAATTTGTAATTAGTTTGCTTATAATATTAAAACACATTGCGGATTTATGAGATATTTTAGCAAAATATACACCAGAGTTTAATACAATTACATCATTTAAGCGAACAATGCACAGGTCTGTTCGCTTAAAACATTTACAATCTTCTAAAAAATATTATAATCTTCACTTTTGTCACTGAAAATGAATTGAACTAAAACCTGTTTTTATTTCAGGATATAAAAGATTGAAATAGTACACTTTTTCTACGTCTTCTGGCTTGCAACCATTGAACTTAATGGCGCCAACAACCCTAATAAATCACAGGAAAATAATCCTGAGGCCTGTCCAGATATTCTCCCTCAGAAAGGTTTTTTTCAACCTCACGGGTGAAGTTACGTTTTAAGAACAATATTCATATACCTCAATATTAGTATTATGGAAATGAGATTAGTCTTCATTTGATTGTAACATGGCCAAAAACTTTTGATTTTGAAAGAGCTATTTAGAGAGAACTTTATCACGAAACAAACGTAACACACACACAGCGATGCAACCATTTAAAATAGAAAGTCACAAGAGTCAGGTCAAATTAAAAAAAACAACGAAACACAGTTCAGTATTTATAGATTATTTTGCACTTTAAAGGTCTTAATCGCATGTGCAGTACTTTTCATTACATTTCCGGCCTCTGGACGCCCTACAAACTAGATGCCCTCCTGCAGTAAACCAGGATCACAGCCTCAACTGTTTACAAGGTGCGAAAATGGCAAAGCATGTAGGGGCTCCGTGACAGCAGTAAAGCAGCATTTCTAATGAGGCTCGGGCAAACAGTCAAATATGTGATATTGTTGTGAGATAGAACACACACACACACACACACACACACACACACACACACACACAC